AGTGTAACTCTGTATAATTTAGTTTGGGCTTAGTTATAAGAGCCTCTTTAATAGATTTTTTAGATCTGACGACAATATATCCGTCATTATCTTTATCATCACCTTTATGTGAGTAAGAAGATTCACCTTTATGTGAAGATGCAATACCTTCTTTAAGAAGTTGATTATTAACAGCTTTAAGTTTATTAGATTCAGTTAAAAGGAGATAATAAGCATTGACTTGGGCTCTGCCATCAGGCCTTCCTCTTCCACGGCCTTTGTCACGGGAATTACTTTGGTCTTGATTCATGAGAACCCTGCAAAAATTCCTCAGTTAGAAAATCGAGAAGAGAATTTAATTTTCCTTTAACATATTCAATTTTAAAATCAAAAATAGATAAGATAGCCTGTCATCTTACAAAGATCTGTTTAGATGCAATATTCTTTACATCTTGTTCAAGAATATTTTTGGCAGAACTACAATCAATTCTTAATAGAAATTCTTGATTTAATAAATCATCTTGAAATTTACTAATGCATTTGACAATAGATAAAATCTTCTTTTTGATAGTAGAATAATTTAGTTGAGTAGATCCCCATTTTCCTTAAGTAAATCTTATAAGAAATTATTTATGAGAAATGAGATCTTTTTGTTTTAAAATACCTCCATAACCTTTATCAAAGGCGTTAGTGTCAACAATTTTAGACCATATTATATTTATCAAAGAAAGACATGGTAAATATTTAGCTTTAAATTTTATCTTTTTAACTGTTGTGGTATGAAAATCTGTTCAAGGAGACGGATTTTTCTTAAGTCTATCATATAAAATAGCAGTATCTTGTGCCAGTTTTTGATAAAAATTGATCAAATAATTTAAACTTCCCAAAAATCTCTGAAGTTGATTTTTGTCATTGATTTCATCGAGGAATTTAGAGGCGAATTCAATACTTCTTTCAATTGGGATTATATTCCCATGTTCAATATAATGTCCCAAAAATCTGACTTTTAATTGAAATAGTTTCATTTTTATAGCATAAAGAACATGACCATTATTTTTAACAATTTGAATGAATTTATTCAGATGTTTAAAATGATGATCAATAGAATCAGAGAAGATGAGTATATCATCAATATAAACGATGCAGAATGCATCATAAGAATTAAAAATATCATTCATTATATTCTGAAATTCAGGTGGAGCATTTTTAAGTTCAAAAGGCATAACATTCCACTTATAATGTTCAAAAGGTACTGTGAAAACAATTTTATACCTATCTTCCTCAGCAATTTGGATCTGCTAATAAATTGGCTTTAAGTCAAACTTAGAGAAAATCTTAGCATTATAAAATCGGGACAATAAATCCTTTTATTAGGAATTGAATATCTTATCCATTGCAAGACCTTGTTTAAAGGTTTGTAATTTATTACCAATTGAGGAACTCCTTTTTCTTTTTCTACTGCATTATTAACATAAAAAGTGGCACAACTCCATGGAGAATTCGCTTTTTCTAATTAATGATTTTTCCATTAAAGAGTTAATTTTTTTTTACAGAATTTCAAATATTCTTTATTTATTTGGGTTGGCCTAGCCTTAGTTAGAATATCCTTTTCATTAAATTCCTTTATATAAGAAAGAGTTACTACATATTTTTTTTCTATTCTAAAAGGCAGTGGGAAGAGTATCACAAATTTCCTTAGTTATCTTAGTTTCAATTTGGTTTATTTTTTGTTTAGTTTCGGGAGAATTAAGTTTATCAATTAAACTTAAGATTTTTATATCTTCTTTTAAAAAGTTTACTTGATTTTCTTTATAAATCAGATTTTCTTTATTTGATTTATTAATTTTATTTGAGGTGGAGTTATAAACTCAAATAATATTTGTTGACCATTTATGGTAGTCAAAATACCTTTAGAGTCGATTTTTTCTATAAGTTCGATTAAAGATAAAAATAGTGTTCCTAAAATCACCAATTGATTTAAATTATCAATGAGCATAAAAGTAGTAGGAATACAAATTTATTGATTACATACCAAAATATTAGAACGTTTAAAATTTATATTTAATTTTGAACCATCAGCAACACTTATTGACTAAGTAGTTTTCTCAAAATATTTAGTTGGAATTAATCCTGCCTTTATGCAATTCATATCTGCTCCACTATCAATTAAAGCAATAGTTTCGACAGTAAATTCAGAATTTATAACTAAAATAATTTTAATATACCATTTCTGATAAGTTATTTTTTTCAATACCATTAAAAATTCATTTTTTGAAGAGTTAGATGGTGATGTTTTATTATCTTGAATGTTACTTTCTTTAAGTGACATTTTTTCTAAGGCTAAAATTCTAGCCTTTATGACTTTTATGTCTTCTTTGATCTTATGAATTTCTTTCTTTAAGTCTTGTACCATAATAGACAAAACTTCCTTTATTTGGGATGAATTGTCAAGGATGTCACTTTTGGTTCTATTAAAGACTTTTTTTAAAGAATATAGTTGAAACAAATTAGGTCTCTTTTTTTCTTGATTTATTTCTAAATATTATTCAATAACTTTTCTTTTAGAAATTGAATCTTGAATTTTATCTATAAGATTAAGAATAAAGTAAAGGTTTGTGAATTAGTTAAAGTGTTTATACTTAATTTTTTCATGTCTTTTTTGAAAACATAATAATAACACGTAGAAGCAACATGACCAATTTTTCCACACTTATAACATTTAATAGCTTTCGGGTCTTTCTCTTTAAAGACTTTGGTGGAGTGAGTAGAGTTACTTTCTTGATTCCTTTTATGGAAAAACTGATTATTTGTTAGACTGTCATTATTTGAAATAGTCAAATTTTTAGCATCCGTAGGTGCATCAATTATTGTATTAATCTGTTTATCTCCTACTGTTTTTGTTTGAGAAAGATTATTTAATTTTTTCTTGAATTCATTTATAAATGTGGCTTCTTCAATATCAGGAAAGTAATTTTTTAGTTCATTTAACTGCTTAGTATCAGATGAAACAAAATAGGTTAAAAACCAATTAACAAAATGAATTATCATTCTCTCCCTTTTTATATAAAGGTAAACACATTTCTTTATAATTTTGAAGTTCTTCTGAACTCATAGTTTTAAAAAATCAATTTCTGAATTTTTCATATTGACGAAAATAAAATTATTTATTACAAGTTTCCTTTATCATCTGGAATTCTCTTGGGTGGAAATCCATAAAAACTATAGTTAGAATTCGATTTCGGATGGGAGTTGGATCATAATCTTCTTCTAGAGAAGATTCATTAGCTGGACGATATATACCATGTGGAATATTATTTCTTAAAATTTTAATTCCTTTAATTATGAGTTGTTTATCTCTTATTCGATTTTGAACCGAGGAAATAGATTTTCTTAAATGTGAAGTTTCTGATTTATCAGAAGAGTTTAAATAATTCTTGGAATTTATCCTAGTAAATTTTATGGTAACATCACCTTGGGATGATTGATCGATCTGGATTATTTATTTATTTATTTCTAGGTTTTTAGGGACCACAGACTCCAATTGCTAGGTGTCTGAAAACTGAATTTCTGACCATTTAATCATTTTTGGACTTCAATTTTATTTTTAGCCGTATTGGTTTCACTTAAAGTAGTTTAACCTTTAAGGTTCAAAAGTTTAGGTTCAGGACATAAAGTATTCATAACTTTATAATAGACCCTATAAGTAAACACATTTATTTATGTGTCTTCTTTATAATTGTAACCAAAAATTTAAATATTGCATGTTAAAACATTCAAAATATTTTTATTTGTCAAAAATACATAAAGATTAGAAAAACAGTTAAAATAAATTAGACCAGTACTTAATCTGCATTGCATAACTCTCATTAAAGACCGATCAAAATCAAGACATCTAACATCTTGTAATGCTATCATAAAAGATGTATTTAATCTTTGAAGAGTTAAAGGTTTTAAAGTAACTTGGACTAATCCAATATGCATAAATTTATAATTATCTTGAGCCTTTAAAACTTCGCGTTCAGTTCATAATTGTAAAATATCTCCGTTTTGATCAAAAGAAACAGTCATTTCAATCGCTTTAATAATTATACTCGATTTAAAATCAAAAGTGCAAATATTATAGATTTTCTTAGTGGGGTACTGAGATATATCCCAATTCTGCAATTTATTTTCAATATCAGAGAATTCTATCTCTTTCATGTTTTTAACATAATCATCTTTATGGTTAAATTTAAATTTAAATAGGTTTAAAGTCATAGTGGTATCAAATGTTGTTCTGTTGACTTATATGTTTCACTATTACCTTATTCTGGTTGCTACTTTAATTTGTCTTTTAATTATATTATAGTACTGCTATTGTGACATTTGCTACAATAATCTTGGTATAATAATATTATCAGCTTTATATTGTTGGCAAAATCCTGTTGTAATGATAATTCCCACTATCCTAATTTCTGCAATCAATCTTGTCGACGTCTGAAGGGAATAAAAACGGCCTAAATCATCCTTAATACGCGACCATAAATACAAAACAATAGAGAGCAACAGAGAAATATCATCATAATAAAATTTTAACAAACAACAAAACCTCCAAGAAACATTATTATAATATGATTAAATTCACAAATTCATAATAATAGTAGTCTAACAGAATTAAATCACAATTACATAAGTAACAAGAATTAATAATAGATCTGTATATAACAGAATAAACTTAAACTACCATTCACTTGGCTCTGATACCAGAAAAGGACGGAGTGTCGATCTACAAAATACAAGATACACTAACAATAGTAGTGGTGAAAAGTAAAAAATGAAAGGTTTATACAAGAGAAGAGGGTTCACCGATGCTCCATAAATCAAGCCTACATCTCTTTATATATAGCCATATATGATATTGATATTTCAAAATAAAAATTATTATTCATAATTTCGTTTTGTTCTTTAACTTTAATAATTTTCGTAGCGTCACCGCTTACGTTATAAATACCGTAAACTTTCGTCATGGATTGGGTGAGCATCACTCCATAAATTCAGCACACTCACTGCTTACTCGCAGTTGAAGAAATTTGAAGAAGTAAAAATGGCAACAAAAGTGCCGAGGATCAAATTGGGTAAACAAGGTCTTGAGGTGTCAGCTCAGGGACTAGGTTGCATGGGCATGTCCGCTTTCTACGGCCCTCCCAAGCCCGATGCCGACATGATCAAACTCATCCACCATGCCGTCGACAGTGGTATCACCTTCCTTGACACCTCCGACATATATGGGCCTCACACTAACGAAATCCTTGTCGGAAAGGTACTCCCCACAACTCAGATCTATGCACACCCGCTTTGTGTTTATGTTTATGTTTGTGTGAAATATTGATGGGTTTTCTATGTGTAGGCTTTGAAGGGAGGGGTGAGAGAGAAAGTGGAATTAGCGACGAAATTTGGGATCAGGGTCACAGACGGGAACAGAGATATTTGTGGTGATCCGGCATATGTGCGGGCTGCTTGTGAGGCCAGCTTGAAGCGGCTTGACATCGATTGCATTGACTTGTATTACCAGCATCGCATTGACACTCGATTGCCCATTGAAGTCACGGTAAATTTGCTATTTTTTGCCTCTTTTTCTAATTATGTCATTGAGAATGTTACAGGTTTGTTGATTCTGGTGTCGTGTTTTCGAGACCCATATCGAATTAGTGACTTTGGGTTACGCTTGACCCCGGTTTAGTACTTCGGGTTCAGCCATAACCCGAATTTGAAGCCAAGATGTGCAATCCTCGAATCAACTTCAAAATGAACTCGAATTTCAACCTAAAAACCTGAATTCGTGTAGGTGAGTTAGAAAATTTAAGCTTGGTCATAAGCTGGGTTGAACCTTCGTTGGCCACCCAAGTTGTACCCTTGTTAGTTGTAATTAATTTGTGTTAGAGACAGAAAATGAGTTGAAAAAACAAAAAAAGAAAAAGAAAAAGAAAACATAGATTACCAACATCCGGTATGTATTGTTCACTCTATCCTGGACTAGCCTTCAAATTTCTAATGGCAAGAATTTTGTACAACTATTTTTGACCAAAAACACAATTATATTATTAATGTGACTATGTTCACCTCCCATTTGATGGTCATCCATATTTCCTCAATCTTACCTGAATAGAAGGCAAAACTCTGTATCGGGTCTTTCATTGTTTTTATTATCTTGTTTTTCCTAGATATCTCTAAATATCTTTCTCAAGGAGACTTACAAGAGTTAATTATACATTTACCATATTTTTTATTTAAATGTTTTTACCGTTGTATTGTTGTTTCAAACTTATTTATAAAAAAATGCAACACTTTTAAAAGCATATTTAATAATCACGCGTTTATCAAAAAAACATGATTATAGAACACGCTTTCCCCGTGAGCCACCACAAAACGATCCTTTTAAAAGCATGTCTTTTTAAATACGCCTTTAGTAAAAAAGTGTGTTTCTTTTGGACAGGTTATCTTTAAGAAGTGAACTCCATTGAAGATTGAAATTCACAACTAATCCAACAGCTTTATTGAATTAAGTCCCTCATTAGGTTCTCAAATTGGGTTTCTATAGTATTACTTTTTAATATGTGGTATTCAACCAAAAAAATTCATGCCAAGTCATTATGTCCTTGTAAGACTTTTATAGTTTCAAATACCTGTTGTCTCCTCATTCTCTGGCAGCTCTCTCTCTCTCTGCTCCTTATTCTTTTAAGAAAGCTTTGCATGTCCAACACCCCATGAAGCCAGTAGGTACAAGCCATTCTTTATACAAGAATAATATTGATCTGGGCAAAGAATAAATAAGCCAGAAGTAGTGAATCTGACATACAAATTTGAATCACCATCTGAAAGAGGCCAATTGAGTGGTAGTGTGAAGATGTGGCCTTCAAAGAAGTAGAATTTGGCTTCATATCTTTCGTCGTTGGGTCTGGCTTCAGTTCCCTTACTTTTAACTCCTTTGGTTCTGATCTCAGTGATTGCTTGTACTCTGGGTCTTGACAAATCTTTGATTTCTTAGTCTTCTCCATTAGCATGGAGACCAGTTGGTTTTTGGAGGTCTTATTCTCAAGCTTTGGTGCATGCTTAGTAACCACCACTTAGCTACTGCCACACAGGTTCTTAAAGAATGCTGAACATGTTATGCAAGTTGCCACATGTCATGCATATTTTCCGCATGAGATTCTTGGAGCTGCCAATTGTTATGAAAGAAGTAAAAAGTGCATTAGGATTGTTTATGGCAGTTAGCCTGTGTTCACAGTAAGTCTATTTTTTAAACACGCTTTTCTCTAAAAGTGTGTTTAAATGACACATTATAAAAGGATATTTTTGAATAATTTTTCTTCTCATAGTGAGAATATGTTTTATAGTCCCATTTTTTAATGAAAGCGTGTCTAAACATGTTTTTAAAAAGTGTAATTTTGAAACCATGGTAAAACAATAAAACAAATTTACAAATACCGTAAAAGTATAATTAACTAACACTTACAAATGGTAAAGTTCCCTATTTTTTGCACCATTGTTAAGTTTTAATAGCTCTGATTCTTGGCCAAACACTTCTTTCTTATATAAAGCAAATGCGAGGAAATAAATTCAGCAAAAGAGCATACGGCTTTTATATATATTCTCAGTTTTATTATACAGATTGTAACTCCCAGTGCAGCCACAGTAAGCTTGAGTGGCTTGTCTTATTATGCCCAAAGGGGAAGCTGAAGTATTCAAGTCCTTTCTGGGACATTTTTGGATGTGTGTTACTATGAACACACGCTACTACACTATAAACACTTAATATTATACTTCCCATGAGCATTGAACATTTTTGCATTATGGAGTGGGAGTGCTTATGCAATGCTCGAAGTTGTGCAACAAGTGCATGTGTACTTTTTCCAGAAATAAGTTTATGAGTGTTCTGAACATCTCTATCCTTAATATGGGTTTTCCTTCTTTGACCAAGCTTACCACTAACATTCTTCTAATTCCTTTTAAAATATCTTTTGCAAGATGGGAGAGCTCAAGAAACTTGTTGAAGAGGGGAAAATAAAATACATAGGTCTATCTGAGGCCTCAGCCTCTACTATTAGAAGAGCACATGCTGTTCATCCAATAACAGCTGTTCAGCTGGAGTGGTCTCTGTGGTCAAGAGACGTGGAGGAAGAAATTATTCCTACTTGCAGGTTAGGCATATATTCTGCTAACTTATTTGGGGAGGTTAAAGAAATACCAGGATCTAATTCTATCCCCCTTAAAAATTTCAGGGAGCTTGGAATTGGGATTGTTGCATACAGTCCTCTGGGACGCGGATTCCTCTCGTTGGGCCCAAAGCTATTGGATAGCTTATCAAATGAGGACTTCCGGAAGGTTAGCCCTATATACTACAAGTCTCTTGATTTCAGAATAATAACATAGCTTTTGGCACATCCTATTTTCTTTAGTACTGTATTTGTTTGATATTATCATTATACAAATTTAGCATTTTATTCTCTTGTTTGCCTAAGACTTACTACTGGATGAACATTAAGAAGCACAAAACCTTGTCTCCTTTTGGGATATGTTCTTTGTTCCTACTTAATGATGCTCACATGTCTCTCAACATTCCGTGAACAACAAGTTTTTGTAATTTGTATCTTTATCCCATTCTGTGGTTGCTCCCTATTTGTTACATTTTACATGTGGCTTGGTTTTTTTTGAAAATATTGTTTATTTAAGACGTCAGAAGCTTTCTAATGATTTATGCTTCATGCTGAGCATCGAATTTGTGATATGCAACATATGGGCTGGGTACTATACGAAGAACCTATTCTCTGGTGTTGCCTTCTTCCTTCTTTTTATTTTGGGCAGTTGGTGGAACTATGACTCCCCAAGATGTACATATGCCAAATTTGACTGCTTAGAGCATCTAACTCAAAATAAAAGAACCTTGGGTGACCTTAAGCATTAGTTTTGGGACATAAGCTCTTTTTACACCTTTATTTTACTTGTGAACTGGACTAGCATATCGGCCAACAAACCAAACCAATTTAGACGAGCTAACGTATCAGAAAATTTAAACTATTGGAGACTTGACTCACTAACCACCCAAGCTTCAACTTTGATACCATTGGATCATTCAATCCAAAACCAATTGGCAATGCATAGAGATGTCCCTTGCCATATAAACCAATTTTAGGTGGCCTGACTTTCAATGTGGGAGATAGGTTCTTTTCACATAAACCTTAGAATCTCTTCGTGCTAACTGCCAAGCACTAGGTCCAAGGGGCAAAGGATCCACTCAGATTAAAGTGGATCCTATAGCAACACATCTAGCTTTTGGGGTAAGGCCTTGTGTTATATAGAATCAGCCTCTCTTCCTTGAGCACAAAAACTTTCATGAAGGCTGTGATACGACTTCTAAGAAATAAATTTTATTTATTCCCTGTAAAAAGAAAGAAAACTGTAACATACGGGATAAGTGTTCTTGACCTCGGCCCAGGGCAGAGCTTGTCCTGCATAAGCAGCAACTTACAGCAAACTGCTGTGCGGCCACATGAAAGTCCCACTGGAAAGCGTCTAACTCAAATTGTGAGACCCGGAGAAAAGGTTCACAAGACCTAGATCAATCCACAGGATCATTGGAAAAAAAACAAGGGATGAACGCCAAGCTGACAACACTGGCCAGTCACGTGAGAGTCGAGACACTGGAGTTATCAACAGAGCTCACTCGTGGACCATTCTACTGACTTAGTAATGGGGGACACGTAATTTCCAAAGAACCACTGTGAAAATGTTTTTTGTGAAAATTATGTAGCACCTAGCCAATATCGTACTTAAAAATAACTATATAAGAGATTCAGCTAGCTCTAGTATGTCTGTGGCTTTCTCGGTTTAGAAATCTATTTCTCCTCCAAGATCAGTTGCTCCATTGAAGAAAAAGAAGTTTCTTTTTTCTTTTCACTGTGACTGGAAATCAAAATTATTGTGCTATTGATGCATGCTGAAGCACATTTACTTTTGACTATTGATGTTGACAAATTTGGGTCCTTTGGTATTGTGAACCCATAATTCTGACTCTGAATTTTATATATATATATATATATATATATATTTTTTTTTTTTTAGTATCAACCAAAGCTCCAACCTGGCAATCTTGAACATAATGCAAAACTGTATGAGCGGGTTTGTGAAATAGCAGCAAAGAAGGGATGTACGCCATCACAGCTAGCATTGGCTTGGGTTCAGCACCAAGGGAATGACGTGTGTCCCATTCCGGGTACGACCAAGATTGAGAACCTCAACCAGAACATTGGAGCTTTGTCTGTAAAGCTTACACCGGAAGACATGGCTGAGCTCGAATCCATTGCTTCAGTTGATGCAGTCAAGGGTGATAGATATGGGCCTGGTATGTCTACTTGGAAGACTTCAGACACTCCGCCGTTGTCCTCGTGGAAAGCTTAATAATAATGTGCTTTCACTGTGTGGTAATACTGCGTTTATTGGTTTTGGAAAACTTTAAGTGTCTTTTTGTGCTTTGTGAGTGTTCTGAAACTGTGATGTGTTTCCTACATTGCACCCTGTTCCGCGAAGCCAGCCAGGGAAGCATCTGTTACATAAAAAGCTTGTGAGCTCTTGTATGATTGTTCCATAAATAAAGATCTGGCATGGTTATTGAGAGGCAGACATGATTGTTCGGGCGATTGTAACGAAACATAAGACTATCTTTGAAGTTTTTTTCACTGCCTTAGAGATCAAAGACTTAATTAATTTCTAACTAGCAATGTAATGAACTGAAATTTAGAAAAGTAACCCAAACTGAAAGTAACAAAAAGATTGGCAAAGGTAAACATGCAAATGAAAAGAAAAATAACCGGAGTGATGAGTTACAAGCTAAAGGAAAATTACAAGAAAATAGGCCAAGTATAGGAGAGGTTGTGTGTGTCATTGTTGTGCTGATGGAGCATCCTTCATCTGTGGCCCCGTCTTTGGTACTTATAGGAGATATTCTCTAATTGTCGAAGTTATTATTGTTTACCATGACTGTAATCGTGATCTCTTTCCCATAGATATTCAGGCGTAATGTTGTGTTTTCTCATTTCTCGAGATTTTTAGAGTTTCATTTCTTTAACTGTTTTGTTAGGCTTGAATTTTCATTCACCTTATCATTATCATTAAATCACCTCCAAGTGTTATTCTCAAATTTTACTCTTTTGGGTGTAAACAGTCAAATAACTTAATTAATGTACTCCCCAAGCCAAACAATATCATCAATTCAAACTTACATTTCTTCTCTCTTTTTATTTTTTAATTTTAAATTATGTAATTAAAAAATATTAAATTATTATTGACAACATAAATATTATATAATCAATGTTCAATTTTTAGTATTTAATAGTGTCTTTAAACACAAGATTATCTCTAGTATTTTATATGTACAAATTAGTGCATGTAATATTTAAATACGAATTCCAACAACAAAAATTTAAATATAAATGTCACCCAACGAGGGGATAAATCTTGTAAATCTGCACATCTTGATATATTAATTGTTTTCGGATAATAAGGGGATGCATTAACCATAAGATAGTTTAGTAGTTGCGTCTATTCTTTGATAGCCCAGAAATTTTATGTTTAATCCTTTCTTACAGTTCTTAATAGCTAATCAATCTTATCCTTTTAGGGATATGCTTTAAATCAGTTCAACCTACAAAAACTAACTTGCTAAGCTCAAGAGAGCAGTTAGCGAGTCTAGATACCCCGCAAAAAAAAAATAGTGGGTTACACATGATAGACTACATTTTTAAAAGGGGCAGCAATTGCATCTTCACTTTGTTATCTTTCATTCTGCTTTATCTGCAGGAGCATGTTATTTTAGTTTTCAATAGCTTAATCCTTTGAATCAACAGCAGCTTGTTATTGACTATTTTTGCATTAAGTGCTACTTCATCAATATTTTTGATTATTGCACAGTTGTTTTTGCTTTTACTTTTGATTTGTAAAAGATAATGTACAATACATTTTTAAAAAATTACACATGTAACTCTACAAAACATGATTTCTAGTTAACGTCGGTCAAAATCAAAATCTATTAGGAATTGACAATGAAGTTTCAGATAAGAGATGAATATACATAAAACTACAGGAGTTGTGTATGAAATTTCCTTTATATTGATTTTAGGTTTATAAATTAAAAACATATATTACATTTAGGTATATAACTGTAAAAACATCTATTTTGTTAACATCATTGAGAGACAAAGGGTGTTCCTGAACTTATAACTACCGGTATGGGGTGGATGAAAAGTTTCTTATAATTTCATTATTTATTTTTGTTGTTTTTCAATAATCTGGGATTCTTATTAGGGATTTCCCTTGTAATTTATTTTCTATATTAAAGAAAATTTTCGTCATTGTAATTTGCACTGCTTTGCTATATATAAAAGACTTATAGCAAAATCTTCAAGCAAGATTTACTTGGCTAGCTCAAAGTGGAGCTTTAACTAATTTATCAACTTCTTAGAATTTTTTAAATAAAAAGATAACTCTATACCTTGATCAACTTGATATGATTTGATGTAAGCTCATCGAATCTTATCACGTTGATCAACATGATATTCTCATATTTGTGGATGCAATATTGGAACTTGCACCAAAGAATTGATATCAAATTCCTTATTTTCGATTTTTGGAGATTTTTTGGGGGTATTTTTCAACATTCGAAATCTCAACATTGATGGAAGACAGTGATTCATTAACTTCTAAGTTCATGATATTTTTTTCTCTCGAAGAATGCATCAATTGTAGAAGGTTTTCCCATCTAAAAGTGTAAAACATATTGACATTATTTTAAGAATTTAATGAAGTTACACATTTCGAAGAAATAGAAAAAGCACATGAAACATATTTCATGCTATTCCACATCAAAAATAAACATGTCCTACATTGTATGTTCCTAATTAAAGACAAACCTATTTTAATTTCACATTTAAAATTCATATTATACAAGATTGAATTTTTTTGACATGAGACAAGCAATTAAATAAACAATTATCATAGATTATGTTCGAGTATATAAAGCACAAAGAAATGGGTAATACACTTTTTTCACATATAATATATTGGTAAAAATAAAAAAAATTAATCGATAAACAAAAACATAGAATACTAACCCGTAAATCGAGTTGCAAAAATAACTTGATTAGGTTCCCTTTGCTTGTAATTTTGTGGAAAATCTCAATGTATGTCGAAGATCTTACCTTCTATCGTGTGTTCACATTTATCATAAGTGATGCCTCACAATCTCCGTCAAACCATTTGCAATTGGTTTGTTTTGGTTGATATACCTATGTGTTGTTACATGTAATTTATGAGTTGCATTTATGTCAACAGATTATTTTGATGCGTGCTTGCTCCACACAGATCCATAAGCATTGTTTTACATATTTCACATCCTCCCCTGTTTTATTAGGTTATGTGTTACCTAGAAATAACCCGTGCTTGAAGGAATTGTGAAAATTTAAAAGGAATGTTAGTGACTATTGAATGAATTTATTTAAGATTGTCGGATAGACTTATTAAAACATGTCCTGTTTTATTTCATGCTTGTGTCAGTTATTGCATCATTAGAATAGTATTGATATAGTAAACAAATCTCTTATTTTTTTAAAGACAATAATAACGAGAACACTAAAAACTAAATAAGATGGCATTAGGGATGACAAAGATGAAATGCTTCTAGGTTTATGAGTTCTAAATCTCACTAATATTTTGACCAAAAAAAATAGTATTTGGAATTACTTCTTTTTTTTTTTCAATAAGTTAAAAGTAGTTTATCGAGTAGAGGAAAAAAAATAAAACTTCTATTTCTTTAAAAATACTTATATTTAAAACATTTCTTAATTTTATATTTATCACCACCACTATCGTTATCGTCCCATCAATTACACTGCCTACCATTTTTTCACCACTGAACATCACTACCGTTGTTACAAGAAAAAAAATACATGCACACATCAAAACACACATATTAATACACCAAACCATACATCCCCCCATCCCCTCGCCCACAAAATACACTAATACATCAAACGCACACACAAAGATGGAGCTGCATAGTGGCCAAGGTTCTCCCTCAAATTTTTTAAAAATATCTTTATACCCCCTTTAGAATTTTAAAAATTATGACACCTCTCCTTCCATTTTCAAAAATCTTACATATAGTGTTTTTCAACTAGTGTATTCCGTTTTAAACTTTTAGTTCTAATTTGACAAATTTTTTGAGGTCACTTGCACTTGTATCTCAACTAAATCTGTGGCATTGGTTTTAGGTTAAGAAACCGATGAATACTTGTAAAACCCGTTGTAATTATTTGAATTATATACTAGAATATAAACTATAGTGCTAAAATAGGTTAAAGGGTGCAAAGAACAACATAATTTGGTGTTGTGCGATTTGGGCTATAGTTAAAATGCAAGCCGAGAAAAAATTTATGCCCCTGCCTACAGGTTGGAAAAAGAGTCTAGAGAAGCCTTTCTTCACAATGTTTGATTTTTTATGTTCATAGCTTATTATTTTTAATCTCAAGAAAGGGTAAAATAGGAATACCAATTTATAACATAACAAGTTGATGATAAGGAGTCAACATTAAATGAATATGCTAGGGTTGATTAGTTTCTACAAATGACATAACCCTCTAATACAAATAGTTAATAGGTCGAGTTAAAGCTGATTTTGTTACCGTTTCAAAGGAGTGAATTTTTATTTTATTAGATCCTTGTGGGTGGCAAAGTGCAATAATTGCAAACATTTGGTTGGTTTGTGTTATTAAAAAACACTTCGCAAGCTTTATTTTTCGGCAATGTTACATCGCAACCTTATGTTCTCTTATGCAGCAAACAAGTAATGCTTGTACACAGACAAATCCGATGAGTCCAAAGGTGTCTATGGATCTTTAGATACCTAGCACTACTAATACATCAAACACACACTTTTAGAATTACTAATATTTTGGTAGGCCCTACGACTTTTTAGATACTTTTTGATTTTAGGTTTTTCTGATATCAAGATCCTTCTTTACTTGTTAAGCGTTGCCTTAATTTTACCACAGATGCCTTAATTTGCTCCTAGTTACACTGGAAGTATATTCCTCTCACTCGTAAAAGCATGTGTCCTGTGCCTACGTGCACCAACGAAGTGGCGTACAATGGGTCCACCATGAAAGCCCAATTCTCCAGGTTCCCCCATTCTTGTCCAGCAAAACCACCGTAGCAATTCACCTGCTAAAAGCATAATAAACACTACATAGAGAACTGGTATGACAGAGTCTGGAAAAAGAGTTGATGCTAGGGATGCCAATGACAAAAAACCAAATAATGTCATAACTTGGTGAACAATACTAGCATAGATTGGAGAAGAAAATCTCAGCTTTGCTTCGGACAAGATGCAATATAGGAGCAAACTAGTAATGGCAACCCCCATGATTTTGGGGTAGGTTTCGAATGGAGTTTGGTTTTTTCCTTGAAACTTCAACTGCTGAAGATTGATAATCACCGGAACAATAAAGATGAGAATTGCATGGCGTGAAAGAGAAATAGTACGCTGTTCTTATGAGAAATTGAATCTCATATTAATTGAGGCAGCATTAAATTATCCTGAGAAGTTTGTCCACCCCGATAAAAAAAGTTTGTTCTTGCTGTTTCAGCCATTAATAAATTTCACTTCCCCGTACAAGACACAAAAGATTCTGAGTTGCAACAGGAAAACAGATCACAGTGAGGGCATATGAGACTAAGAAATGGAGAAAGCAGTTGTGACCTTTCCCAGAGTTGATCCTTGGCCCGCCTTATATAGGAGTACAAAAGTACTATGTGTGGGTGATGGATGATGGATGATGGATGATGGATGATGTATTGTGCATTGTTTAAGAGGGGCACGGCTCGTCTGCTGTTCCTTGATAACATTAAATGTTGCTGTCAACTCAAACGACACTGCATCAACACAAGATAAAACAACCGGTGCTGTTGCTGCTTGTTGATGTTTGACACCGTCTGTCAATTCCACTAATTACTTAATAAGTTTTGATGCCAAAAGCATAGCTTCGCTAACATAGTCGACTCGGCTTGGCTCATTACGGGTCTTCGGGCCCAATCCAAATTAAATTAAGTAATTTGGGTTCAACATGAAAAAATCTATTTAAAAATGATAACAATTTCATTGAGAATAGACGACATCTTTGACCAAAAAATTTGATCTAGTGCACAAAATTTCTAATCTCTGAAAAATCTGTGTGATCATTTCCCACCGAGTCAATCACATTTTTAAATTGTATATTTTGTACAATTCAAAAATTGAACCAAAAAGAATTTCAGTCCAAATTATTCAACCTAAGTCCTAAAATATAAGGATGGGTACTACTCGAGTTGAAGGCTTTGGATTGAAGTTTGAGTTCGAGTCCAATTTGGACTAAGAGAGCTTTATCATTTGCGTTGAGTATGAATTATTTATAATCGAATCGAGTTTGAATTATTTATAATCGATTCTTTATATCACATGAGTCCTTACATATAATGCGAAAATGTTGTTTGGAGTGAGTGACACTAATAACTAACTTTACTAATGTGATTTCTTTTGAAAAATTACTAAATAAATCATATTTTTTATTAAATAATCGTTTAAATCCTTCAAAATCTTTTAGATTTTATTATAAATTTTTTTCCTTTTTAGATTATTAGCTATTGAACACGTACGTTGTACGTGAATAATTTTGAACTATAATTTTACATATTGATAATTCAAGTATGTGTATGTATTAGTAACAAATGTTGTTTAACTAATATGAATCACTAATTTATATTGACTAATTAATACAAGAACACTTGTCGATATTAATTTGTTTACTCTACCTTATGTTGAAGTAATTGTAAATTTTGGGGGCAACAAAGACAATTATATATTTAAGGGAAAATTACTCTCTTTTAGAAATTAATTTTTAATTTGTAGTTTAAAACCATTTTGAGGTCAAATGTCAATCCAATCCAACTACCCAGCACCGTTCCCTCCATGAAAAGGCTCCGAATTCGACCCGACACCGCTAATTATTCCATTGGGTGTTAAGCGTTGCATCTGCTTGGCCATCTTAAGTCGGCTTAAACTATTTTTTGAAAGTAACTGCAATAAGACTTCCAATGCATTATATATATACGCGCACTTGCATATGAAAGTGACTGCAATGGAGCCCATTACACGTCATAACACGTCCGCATTGCATATGAAAGTACCGCATTTCAAGTCCGCATTGCTGTCACTTTCATATGCAATGATCTAATTGCAGTTACTTTCAAAAATAATTTATGGTTATTTTAATTTTAACGGATAATTGAAATAGTAATAGAAACGAGTTGTTATCGTAAATGTCTTAAATTTAAATTTTAAATTTTAAATATCTCTTGAGTTAAATAATAAAATATTTATCATTTATGAATATCCTAATCACAGTGTAAATGACTTATTTTTAACTTCACCAAACAACAAATTAACCGAGGTACATAAAAAATCGCCCACATGCCTTGGACAGTGTCTTTAATTAAATATGTTTTACTTGTGCAGCCTATAACTTTCTTATCACTTCAATTGTTTAGTATTTTTTATTGTATAAAAGCTTTCTATAAGTGACCATGATATTTATAATTATGAATTTTTTTTTATTTTTTTAATTCAAAAGTGAAAATACTTGCCATTTACCTTCAAGACTTATATTTTTTTGCAATAACTTGTCTTTATTTTTGTCTGACAATTGATTGTAATGTTTATTATGTGTCAATGATGTTTAAATTTTTTATTATGTTTTAGTTTTTATATTCTTGTTTAAGTGTCTTTACTATTCATTAAATTTAAGCAGAGGATGTAATTAAAATGTCCACCCTAAAAAAAAAACCTGATTTCCCCTTGATTTTATGTGTACATTTTTTGACAATTTATAATATTTTATATGTTAATGTACAATATTTTGTATATAATGTGTACTATTTAATGATGCCAACTGATAGCTGCCAAACACCTAACATTTTCTTGTTTCCTCTTTATCTTGTGTCGAAACTGAGACAGAGGACTGGGATTGAGAGGTTGTGAGAAACAAGTGTAATCCACTCAAAATTATCATATTCTTTGCACGATCTTTAATATAAAACAACTCAACCAACATATTCTTTACTCATACATTAATGATAAACATTTTTTGTCCAAAAGAAAATTAGAGGAAAAAAAAGTATTAAAGGGCATCTTGGTTTGTGACAATTATGGGAACTTTCCAGCAAGTGCAAAAGAAACTGAGAGGGTAAGCAAGACCATTACTTTTCTTCGGTGCCGTAATTTGATCCATATCTAAAAAGAAGAGATTCCTAAGCTCAAAAGAAGACATTTTAATTTTAAATGAGTGGGAAAGTAGACGCCTGCGTTAATTATATTGGAGATCCCTAAAATATGAGATTTATTTTATTTTGGTTTATCATATTTTAATTGTGTTATTTTGATTTTTGAAGTATTGTATATATTTCTATGTAGTCCTTCAAGCAAATAACGTTCACATTGTTAATAATTTTTTATTAAAAATTTATTACGTGATACTTAAATATGGATAAAAAAATAATTTTGATAAATCTTGATCAAATTTTTACGTAAATTTTGGTCAAAGAATTATCCAAATTATACAGTTTTGATAATGAGATATCAAAATTTTGTTCAACAGTGACCCAAATTTTGGTCAAGAACTACTCAAATTATTAATTGTCCATATTTAAGTATTACATGATAAGTTTATAATCAAAAATCATTATCAATTTAGATATTGTCTAATCAAGAGAACACATAGAAACATATTCAATACTTCAGATACCAATATAATGCAATTGAAAAATTGGGGACAAAAATGGGACAAATTTTATATTTTGGGAATCTCCGGTACAATTAACCCTAGATATTTTAAATGAGTGGAAAAGCAGACATTTTCCTTTAATGAGAATATTAGCATTAAGAGTCCATTTGGTTAAGAAGAAAAAAATGATGAAAAGTGAAAGGGATAGAAAGTGAAGTGAAAGAAAAGAAAAAGATAGAAATTATATTTTCATGCATGTATTTAATTAAAATGAAAAATTTATGGAAAAGTTTTAAAAAAATTTTATTCTATTGTTTGAAAGAAAGGAAAATTAAAAGAATTTTTTTATAATTGTCCAAATTATCTTCAATTATATTAAATCTCTCTAAAAAAGAAAAAAATATGTAATTATAATTGAAAGTTAAAAAATTTTAAAAAAGCGACTCGAAACCTAATTCTAGAACAATCACAAACACAAAGGTCTTTGAGCAAAACTAAATGATTAATCAAATTCAAAATATTTTTTTAAAATTAATAACTAATAAAATATTTAAAAAAAATAAGGATAAAATAAAAAATTAGTTATAGATCACAACTTTCTTACATTTCCTAGTATTTTTTACAAGAAAAAAAAAGGTTATATGTGATAAAATTCAAGTATAAAAGAAAATTATGTTTCTATCATTTTCCTTTTCATACTAATCAAATACATGAAAATTTTAAAAAATTTCTCTTTTTTGCATTTTTTACCGTTCTCCGGCTAACCAGAATTTTAAATGAGTGAGAACTTAGAAATTATGCTTTAGCCTTGGGAACATTTACATTTGATTCTGGTCTGTGGAACTCTAGATTGAGGGGTTAGTCTTTGTTGGAGTTCTATTAGTCAATTTACAATCTTTGAATCGAACAGTTGTTTTAATTTATGTTTGTGGTGACATAAAATTCCCCATTTCCGTTTGTTAAAATTCGACTCACTAGCCTTCACGTTGAAAGTTCAAACATGAGGACACAGCTACTTTGAGCAAATAATGTCAAATGTTAAATATGTACCTAATCTATCCTTACTATACCTCCATTAATAGGGACTACACTAACGAATTTTGAGAAAATATTCTTTTTCACGGTGAGATTATAGTGTATTGTATTTCTTATATATATATAAACAACATTAGAAGAGATAAGTATCCCATGGTAATGGGTGCCTAGCTAAAGAGATGGGGAATGAAGATAAGGTAATGCTATCTATTATGGAGTTGGAATGAAGATCTCCAGCATGTTTAATAAGATCTTTATCATCTTTAGCAGGATCTTCATCATCTTTAGCAGCTTTGTTGTTAGGCCCCCTCAAACTTGGTCAGGGATAGGAGGAATGACCAAGTTTGGTCCAAAGTTCGAAGAATGATTGCTTGGGCAGCAGTTTGGTGAAGATATTGGCCAATTGCTTAGTAGAGGGAACAAACCGAGTTTCAAGAGAACCAAGGCAACTTTTCATGAAGAAAGTGATAATCTAGCTCAATATGTTTTGAACGCACATGAAACACCGGATTAATGATCATGTGTAATGTACTAAGGTTGTCACAATGCAAAAGCGGAGGTCAAGAAAGAGAGACATCAAGGTCACAAAGTAGGAAAGTCAGCCAAGTGAGTTCCGATACTCTACTTCGGTACTGGACCTAGCGACAGTGGACTGCTTCTTCGTTCTCCAAGATATGCAGTTACTTCCTAGAAATATACAAAATCCCGTGGTAGAACGATGACTTAGTGGGCAACCTGCCCAATTTAGATCTGAGAAGGCATACAAATCAAGACTGCTAGAGGCCAAAACATGTAACCCGAAGTTCGCAGTCCCATGTATATATCGCAAGATTCTTTTGAAAATTTTTTAATGAGCCATTGTTGGGGCGTGAAAAAACTGACAAATGAAATTGACACTATAAGAAATGTCAGGTCTAGCAAAAGTGAGATACTTTAAGCCTCCCACAATGCTACGATAGTGAGTAGGATCACGATATGGATTAGTGGAAGTAGACAATGAGACCTTTAGAAGGCATAGGGGTTGATATGGGCTTGCAGGACCTCATCGAAGCACTACTCAATAAATCCATAGCATAGTGGGTTTATAGTGGGTTTGAGAAAGATAAAGACCAGAAGCAATCTTATGAACCTCGATGCCAAGACAATGGTGAAGAAAGCCCAAGTCTTTCTTTGCAAACTCACTAGCTAACTGAGAAATAAGCCAGTTAATCTGGAGAATCTCCAGTGAGATCATGTCGTCCACATAGAGGAGGAGAACAAGAATTCTAAACTGAGATTTACATATAAACAGACTTGGATCAGCAGTGCTACAGTAGAACCCGGGCGTGAGAAAAAAATCATTGAGCTGATCAAACCAAGGTCGGGGACCTTGTTTGAGGCTCACGACTCAATTTACACACATGCGTTGCATAAGAAGGATCGAGATAACCCGGAGGTTGTTTCATATAAACCGGGGTAGAAAGAGAGCCATGAAGAAACACATTTTTGACGTTGAGTTACCGGATCTCCCAACCTTTTACAACCGCAACATTTAAGGCGAGGCGAATGCCGACAGGTTTGATCATTGGGGAAAAAGTTTCAAAAAAATCAACACTGTCCACTTATTAAATCCCTTGGCGATAAGCCTAACTTTAAGGCGGTAAAGCGATCCATCGGTATTGAGCTTAACCTTGTACACCCATTTAGAGTCCACTATATTCAAGGCTCGGCTAGATTCAACAAGAGTCCATGTGTGATTAGCAGCAAGGGCGGCCAATTCCTCATCCATGGCAAGTCTCCAACCTGAATGACGTTTAGCCATAGTGACAGAGTGAGGTTCAGTAGGTATAGAGGAATAAGATACCAATAGTGAATATAGTATCTCGTGAGTTACTGGGCTTTACCTTTGAATGGTGAGATATTGACCATTGAGACATTTCAAGAGCAAGTATGATGAACGTCAAGATGCAGACTTTTAAAAGATAGAGAAGATTGTGACGATTCAAAAAAGCAGGTTTGCACGCAGTGCTTGAAAAATTGGTGGATGAAAATCAAGTGTACTAAGCCCAATCTTGAGCTTGACAAAATTTGAAGAGTTTGGTTCAAAGGAGGTTGTTGGAATTTGATCCAAACTCGAGAGTTTTGTTGAGTAATTAATGTGAAAATCCTATATGAAATAGGATTATATTAGAAGGACTATAATATAACATGAATAACCATATTAAACATGAATTAAGAAACATAAAAATCAAGTTGTATCTGAATAAGTTTGAATTATAATAATTTATCCCTATAAATAGAGTTGAATATTATGTAATCAGTTACTAGAAGACCAGATTTTAATGAATAATATATTGATATAGACTTTTAGTCCGTGGATGTAAATAATGTGTACCAAGGTGGGTACACTGTATCGAACCATGTTATATCTTTGTGATATTTTTTTATGAGCAATGCTATAGGGATCTTATTTGAGAATCTTATTTAGGGACTTTATGATGTGACTTCAACATAACCATTGGATTAGTTGTGAGTTTTAATATTAGATAGAACTTACAACTAATCCAATGATTATTTATCATTAAATTCTTAAATAAGGTTCTCAAATAGATCAAAATAACATTTTCATTTTTTTATTGTTTTTATTTCTTATTTTCTGATCAGTATTATTTGCTTTCGTTATTCGCTCCGCAAAACGAATGTATATACATAATAGAACAACGATCAAGTTTATCACGAGAGAGCTCAAAGTACATACATGTCACATTGAGAGACAGAGAAGCAAAATGGTGATCTATATACCTGGGTTGGATGCTATTCTGCACAGTTTTCTGCCCATATTTTCGCCACTTGTATCCATCATCAAGAATATCCTCAGAACTCCGAGTTTGAAAAGCAATCCTTGGTGGAACTGATCTCTTTGTTCTAGATCTTCTTATGCTTTTTGCGCTGCCATTCTCTCCTTCATTGTTAACCCTAGATGTTAGTGATACACTTGGTGATAGAGGCTTTGGGTCTCCTCCATTTCCAATGGAACCAGAGAGGAGGCTGACCCAATCAATGTCTGAATAATTAGTCTCTTTTTTGTTTGTGTAAACTGTATACTAGTTTTTGACCCTTTTTTGTAATGATTTTTTATGTATCAAATATGATATATTTAATGTAATTGTATTAATTTAAAATAATTGATCGGAAAAAAGGACAGACTTGTTGTTAAACTGTCCACCCAGAAAAAAATTGCTGGCCCTTCCCCTACCCCAGACGACGAGTTGGAAGAGGAGTCTAAAGAAGCCTTTCTTCATAATGTTTGATTTTTATGTTTCAAGAAGGGCAAAATAGGGATGACATTTTAACATATCAGGTTAACGACAAGAACTCGACATAAAATGAGTGAGTGAGGGTTGATTAGTTTCTAACATAAACCTGAAAATAACATGAATGATAAATAGATTAAGTTAGTGTCAAATACAAATAATCTAACTTGGACACAACAAATCAATTTTACTAGTATTGTAGATAGAAAATGGGTGATTATTCCTATTTTTTCTGTATTGATATGGTATTTATATCAAATCTCGTAGAATAAGAGGACTTCTTTTAGTTGGCTTTGTTAGCATTTGGATGGAATGAATTTTTATTTTATTGGATCCCTGTGGGAGGCGATGTGCAATAAATGCAAACCTCTGGATTGGTTTGTGTAATATCCCCAGAGATGAGGTAAAAATCATAATATCGATACCTTTGGACTGATTCTGATTCGTCAGTGTACAAGCATGACTTGTTCGCTGCATAAGAGAACAAGGCTCCTATAAGGTTGCGAATTGCGATGTGACTTGCCGAAGGATAAATCTCGTGAAGTGTTGTCTACTGTAGAGTTTTGACTGGGAGGAAATGCGAAAGATTACATTGTTCTTTTTTCTTTTGTTTGTTCCTTAATGTTGGAGAAAGAGTAAAAAGCAAAGGAAAGGAAGAATAAGAATTACTTGGTTCACGTGATCTGTTCAGTTTGAAAAAATGACTAAAATAACTGATGTTTACTGATAATGGTTACTTGGTAAATTGAGAATATTTGATGTGTCTATGGACCATTCCTGCCCAATTTTGGAAGTCAGGCTGTAATTTTAGTATTAGTGGTCAGACTCATCGATTTGGACTTGTCTTCTGCTTCATTTCCTAGACTGTTTCTTCCATGGCCTTTATTTCATGAAGTGATGATTTTATTCATGCATTAGTTTGCATGTAGGTGTTTTTTCAGCAATCTCAGATAGTTCTTGGCAATTATCCCTACTATATTATCATTATATCAAACATTTGATACATATAATTAGATGAAAAATACACACATTTGTTCTCTAACATTAGCCTTATTGTCACATTTTATAACACACTTCAGGACTACTAATATTTTTGCAGGCCCTATGGCTTTTCAGATGTCTTTGGTTTTGGGCTTATCTGATGTCTAGATCCATCTTTGCCTGTTCAAGGATGCCTTAATTTCTTCTAGTTACACTGGAAGTGTGTCCCTCTCACTCAGAAAGGCATGTGCCCTGCGCCTAAGTGAATCGGTCAAGCGGAGTAACATGAGCCTAACTGGAAGGCGTGATTCTACCGGTCTCCCCATTACTGTCCAGCAAAAGAAGTGTAGCAATCCAGTTGCTGAAAGCGTGATGAACACCATATATGGAACAGGCATAAACGAGTTTGGGAACAAAGTTGATGTTACAGATGCCAATGGCATGAAGCCACACAACGTCATACCATGCCGAACAATACTGGCATAAGTTGGAGAGAAAAATCTCAACTTTGCTTCGGCCAAGATGCAATATAGGAGCAAACTAGCAATGACCACAGACATGGTTTTGGGGTGGGTTTCAAATGGAGTTTCATCCTTTCCTTGGGACTTCAATTGCATGAGGTTGATGACAACCGAAACAATAAATGTGAGAATGGCATGGTGCGGAGAGAAAATATGTTGTTCTTCTGTGAGATTGAATCTCATATCAATAGAGACAGCATGAAACTGCTCAAAGAAACTTGTCCATCAGCGACGAAGGAAGTTTGTTTTTACTGTGTTGGCCATCAGTAAATGCCACTTCTTGCAGAAGGCAAAAAACTTGAGTTACTATAGGAAAACATATGAATGCATATCAGAGAAGGACATGAAGAAGGAGACCTTAACAGAATCTATGTTCCTTACCAGAGTTGATCTTTGATATGATATTATTGCGTTATTTCGATCTTTTATAGTACGGACTACTGTGCTAATGGCATTTCTGCACCTGTCAAATCAAGTTACTGATTGAATTAATTATTTGATTAAAGTTCCCATGGCCACTCACACAAAGGAGCTAGTTTCACTTTGTGCTGATTGTCTCCGTTATGACTCAACCGTTGATTCAAAAGTCTCATAATTTATGGGATTAGAACTCATGACTATTTAAACGTAACATTTTATCATGTTCAAAGTCGACATTCATAGCAGCTAACTCTATCGACACTGTATTAATGGTAGTCATATTTCTCTGATAATTTTATTCACCTATTAGTATTCAACATAATAGTATTATGTTTGTACATAATACTAAAACATTTTAGAACTCATTTGAATGTAACAGTTTCCTTGTTATTTATAGTTGAAATTCTGCTCAGCCCCTGACCCTTTCTGTTACATCATGCAGAATTTATAACATCTGCATTATTAGAAAAGTCATTGAAAAGAGGTACAATAACAACTGAGGATGTTGAATTCATTCAGAACCGGTTTGTTGGCGAACCATGATAGTCTTTCGTGATCTACAACTACAAGAGATCAGAACTTGGAGTAAATATTGAGCGTGACGGTTACACCACGTTAGATTTATTACATGATATAATTGTCTAATAATAACTTACAAAATAAAAAAATTAGTACCCATTAATTCAAATAATCATTTTTTCATATAAGAAAATAATCATTCTATGTAAAAGTAGCCAGGTCGCTTCATCCATTTGTTTGTTTATTTATTATTTGACAGGTGCAGTGTAATGTAACTAGGGGTGTCCATGAGCCGGGCAGGGCTTGGGTAGTGTAGGCCCAAGCCCTTACCCAAGTGAGTAATCGGGTGGGCCGGTCCAGGCTTCGGGTAAAGGTAGGCTACCTGCAGCCCAACCCGTGAGCTTATTGGGCGGGCCTACTTGCAGGTTTTTTTATATACATCTTTATTTTAAAATAATAAATATTTTTGTAACTTAATATTTGTATAAATTATATTTTTGAATCAAAAGTAAAGTCAAAATGGATAAAAATAAAATAATGAACTACATCTAATAGAATGAATAAATTTCAACTAGGTTGACTCTTAGTAACTTATCTGTCGTTTGCATTACTCTACAATTTAAAACTTATATGCTTAATATATGAAGAAAAAATAATAATACATTATTTATAATATCTAAATTTTTAAAATTTTAAATTTCGATATTGAGAGACTTGTTTCAAAGTTTCAAATTTAATGGTTTAAAAGTATAACTTTTTTTCAAAGGAATGGTAGGAGGGCTGGGCTTGGGGTCGGGTATTGGGTTTATGGGCAAATCTAAGCCCTCTTTTTAAGAATATTGGGCTCGGGCAGGCCAACTATCGGGCTTCGAGACTATTTTTTTTCAGGCCAGGTAACGGATCTCATGGATAACCCGGCCCATGGACACCCCTAAATGTAACCGTTACACCACATGACAATGTTAATGTGGTACCTTTACACCCACTATTGAGAATCAACATTATTGGTGTAATTAGGGATTGAGCTAAGATTTTCGCTTAAGGAAACGGGGAGTGGGGGGGGGGGGGGGAGGGCCTAAATAGTGGTATAACAATATAGTTTTTACTCGATGTAGATTATTCAATTAGATCACTAATGTTATGATATTTATATGCATAGAACATATAAAAATCAATCTCATGCGATATACTATAATTATTATTTTTAATAAAATAAATAAAGTTAATCGAAACTATTTAGATGTAAAAGTCAAATTAATTGCACTTAACAATTTAAAATAATCTAAAATTTATAAATTTACAATACCAAATTTAACAATTTATACAAAATAACACAATTTAATAGTTAATGGTTAAACATAGTCTAATCAATAGTCTGACAGGATAATGAGTGGGATAACAGTCAAAAGTTCTTGTACTCCTGAATTGAAGTAGATCCAATAATTTATCAATGATTCCTCTGTTAGTTTTAAGGGTGGTATTACGAAAACATGATTTGAAATCGATACGAAATTAATGGGTTAGAATTAATTATTTTTTGATATTGATGGTGTAAATCAACGTGGATGAACTAAGTGCGTGTGTGCGTGACCAAATGCGTATCCAGGCTACCAAGTTCGTAATAGCTATGACGAAGTATTATTTGGGGGGTTAGGGATGTTTGCACATTAAGAGTATAGTGGTTCACCGGCTGTGGAGCTTGGTTAATCTACTCTTCAATGGAGGCTCTTGCTCCCTTTCCACTATTCACTACTCAAATGCATTACAATATGGTATATCTCGAAATTAGGATTTTTTTTCACTATCCCCCCTTGATAGAGGCGTTACATAGTATTTATAGGACTATTCCCTATTCTGTAGGATCTCAGCCGAGATCTTCACTTGTCATTAGTGGGATTCTCCTTGATTTTAGGAGAGAATCTTAATTGGTTGAGAGTTTCATGTTTTGAACCCAATTTTTGCAGTTATCTAGTTGTTCCCTGGTCAGTTCCGCTACCATCTCCCCAGGGGGAGCTCTAGCTCTGATCTTCTGAGCTCCTCGTATCCTACCTGACATTATTTCCTAAGCTTGCTCTTATAACTTATTTGAAGTATCATTAGTTACCCCCCAGCCCCCGGTTCAAGCGAGCTTGGGCAGGGGTTGAGCTGTTTTTAAACCAACCTGGGCTTGCACGTGGCTATCCTTGGCTTGCATGTGATAGATGCCCTTTGGATGGTTTTTAGCAATCATGGCTTCCTCGATTCCCGTGCACATTTCAGCCTGCGTCTCTCAAGCTTTAAATACTCTATCAGAACCGCCCTTTTTCACTGTTTGGTTTCTTTGCTATCTTTCTCTTCTTGCGGTCTCTTGACTTTTTGGTTTGAAGTTCTCTGATTCTTTATTCAAGTCGAGTTTTCTAGGTTCGATTTGAAGATTCGCACTGCCCTCTTTCTTCAATTTCGCTCTAGGTTGTTGTTCGTTGCTTTTTCCTAACTAGGTACGCCTCTTTTGCCCCCTTTTTCACCTTTTCTCGTCTTGGATCCCTCGAGTTTGAGGTGGTTATTGTATTTCTGGGTTTTTCGGTTCTTTTATCTCTAAAATCGAAATTGCTACTTGTCTCCTCTTCCCCACTTCGTGGATTGGTGCCTTATCGTGCGAATTTTCGCTGTTGGAAGCTACTGTGTTGACCCTAGGGTTATCTGGGAGTGCCTTAGTAGTATCCCTCACCTCTACCGTTCTTTCAATTTACCTCTCTCTTGTTCAATCATGTCTACCCCTTCCAGAGCTACTCACTCCTCTGTTTCTCTCTTGGGAGAAAGGTCTGCCGAAGAGAACACTGATTTAGGGGATGTGAGCGAGAAAATTGATAACTTCCCCTATATTGATGCTATCGACGCCAAGGTGAATACTGAGGAACCTCCCCCATCGTCTTCTTCTGTGCCCCCTAATCCTAATAAAGGTAAGGGTAAGGTGAGTGGGGTAGGAATCTCTGACAGCACAGCGGGCATAGGGGCTACCTTTAGGCACGTTGAGCTCGTAGGCCCTAGTGAGGTTAACCCTTCTCTTATGAAAATTTTTAGTGGTCGTTATGGTTTTCCTCCTAGTATCCAGCCTTGGTATCCAGATAAATCCACCCCATATGTTGCCTAGGTTCATAAGAAAGTCTGTTTCTTCGTGGCCGCCTTTGAGAATGACCTTCGCTTCCCTATGCACCCCTTCATCAAGAATGTTTTGCAACACTTCAACGTCTGCCCTGCTCAACTCTCTCCTAACTTCTGGGGGTGTCCTGGTGGGTATTCTAGTTTTATTTAAGAAGCATGAGCTCGGGCTTCCCAGCCTTTCCTTGCTCGTGGATTTTTTTAATGTCAAGCTCACCTCATCTGAGGGCTTCTTGTATATCTCTAAGCGAATCACAGCTAGACAGATCATTACTCACCTTCCGAGCTCCCATAAAGGCTGGAAAAAATAATTCTTTTTCATTGGGGGCACCAACTGGGAGTACAACCCTACTGATAGGACTGACACTCTTGGTATCCCTAGAGCCTGGTCCACCCCCGATAACTTAGGTGAGTCCTTGCTCGAACTGACTAAGTTCTGGTTTGAAAATTAAGAGTTGCCTTTTTGACCTTTGCCCTCTTGTATTGTTTTTCAGGCACTCGACCTGAGTTTAGCGTTGAGGACGAGAAGGTGAAGCGGAAGTTGGAGAAGTGTAATCTAGAGATATACTTCGAGCTCATCACACCCTAGGTTCTAATAACATAGGGATTTAGTCCTCTTGAGGTATCAATAGAAGCTCTGTTCCCCATCTCTGTTGTTTGACCTGAAGACGTAAAAGGTAACACTTTATGAATTGGTTTCCTTGCCTTCCCTTCTTTTCCCTCTTTTCTGTTTAACTAGCTCGGTTCAGATTTTCCAAGTTCTTCCATAATGAAATTTACTTCTGAGGAAATCCAGGCTAAGGTTGACCTATTGAAGAAGAATAGGAAGAGTAGCAAACGAAAGACTGAGATCAGCTCTGGAGGCAGCCTCGTTAACAGGGCTAAGGT